CACACTCACACACACACACACACACACACACAGACAGACACACACAGTCACACACACACACACAGAGACACACTCACACACACACTCACTCTAACTTGTGCACGGTACGAGTTAAAGGGGTGGTTCACTGGGATTTTTCTAGGCTTGATTGTGTTTATGGGGTGCAGTCTAACATGTTAATGCCTCGTTTAAAAAAAAAAAACGCATAATTTTTCACATAATTTACCTTTTTTCCACACCGCCCTGTTTCTTCTCTGAAAAACGCTAAACATCGGCGTCGTTAATATCGCTCATCAGTTTAAGCCTGATTGAGAAGCAGAGGATATTAGTGAAGAGGATCGTGCAGAACCTGTGCAAGCACGGCTTTTAATGCTAGGCCTATGTTTTTTGTTTGTTGTCGTCTCATACTTTTAGATAAGCTGTTGTAAATGCTACTGCTTCTGTTATCTTTTAATATACGTTTTTATCCTGGTTAAAGCTTTAATACAGTACAGCAACTGCACGCGCGTCCGTGTTTAACGCTTCTCATAGCTATGTGAAAATAAGAGTATAATTGGAACAGTTCATTGCTGGAGCTGAGCTGAGAGAGAGAGAGAGAGAGAGAGATGCAGAGCAGGGGACGCGAGGAACAGGATTGAGAACCGCTGCTTTAGAACACTGATTTTGAAACGTGTGAATCCATTAGAATCGTTAGAAGACAGAATCGCGTGCACCTCTAGTTTTCTCTTCCTCTTCTCTAAAGCAGCGCAGGCCTCGCCCCCTTTGTTGCATGTTCCCGAGGGCGGGGTTTATCTGGATTTGTGATGTCACGAACCCGGGAAGTAACTCGTTGTAGTCCCAATTATTCCAGACGATGTATTGATTTAAAGTGAAGTATTTCACGCTGGTTATCACTGTATTCATACTGGTTATTTTTAGGGATGCACAATATTATAGGAACGTTATCGGATTCATCCGATAAAGGCTTAATATGTAAATATCGGCCGATTTGAAATAAGTTATACCGATATGTCTTGCCGATAAGATGGAAGAGCTCACATGTGCTCAGGGTGTGATAGTGATTCGCGTTTTATTTACTTAGGGGGTACTAAATGTAATAAAAGGAAAGTAAAATACACAAATATCATTAAGATATACAGAATGATGCTGAGTAGCGCTGTAGGAAACACTGGAACACGCTCTGAAGTCGTCTTTAACTAACTCCTGATCAGATGAAGAGCTGTTACTAGGGTTGGGGATTGTTCGAATTTGATCAATTCTGATTCCGATTCTTATCGATTCCCAGTTTCGATTCCAATGGGGTTAAACAAAAATGAAGTCAAACATTTAGATATCAAACATATTTATTTTGTGTCAAAGTCTTTCATCAGTGCTGGGGCTCAGGCTCCCCATCAAAAATGTGTGCCCATATTTTGAAACTCTTTTTAATACTCTTTTGGATATTAATCATCTTTACTTATTCTTTACAAACTGTACCCGCAAAAGAGCTGCTTTTCCATTTACAAACGATAGAAGTTTTGTTTCTTACAGTGCATTGTAGGCAAATATCCACCTCATCCAGCGCTCTTTTTGTTTTGTTTTATATAATATCCCGTTACTATTTCAGTGTGAGAAACCTCTGCAAGCAGTGTAACGTGGGCGTGAGCTCACGAACGAATCAAACTGAATTGCCAAATATTCCAGATCTTCTGTTATTTGGTTGATTAGATCAAAGTGATTCATTGGTGAATCTGCATCACTAGTTCTGATTCCAAACAGCTGATGGAAACACACACAACTCAAACCTCAGCTCGGAAATCTTCATCCACACCCAAGAATTGATCAGTAATATTTCACTGTTTCACAGGATCAGTAAACAGGCTCTGCTGTCAGATGGAGGTTTGGTCAGAGGACTTCATGCATGTGTGTTTTCACAGATACGCCAAACTGCAGCCGGGTGCAGAAGCGCGCAGAATGACCCCTGATGAGCGGACGGAGCTCAGGAAGTACGTGCTTCATGGTTAGAGTTGGGCATCGCTTCAATTTGATCAGTTCCAACTCTGCTCATCAATTCTCAGTTTCAATTCCGATGGGGTTTAAAAAAAAGTCAAATATTTAGATATCAAACATATTTATTTTCTGTCAAAACATTTAGTTGCTGCTGAACACCATGAATAAAAATCAGCCGGCTGCATAAAAACTGACTGGATTAAGAGCTGTTTGTGTGTAATATAGAGCGGCACGATTCTGGATAAATTGAGACTTGTTTTTAATGGAGGTTGTAGTTCTCTCACAATTCTGAAGAAACAATATTAGACAACTAAACAAAATCTGATGGAATTAATGAATGAATGATTCAATGACTCACTCAAGATTCACTCGGTTCGTTACAGGATGAATCAGTGTTTTTGAATGAATCTCTTGAATGAATGATTCAAAGACCAATACATTTTTAACAGCTCCTTTTCTCCAGCTAAAAATAAAAGATGTGCACACAGGAATTGATGAGTGGAGTTTAAATTTTTCAACAGGTATCCGATTCCTGACCTTAAGTATTAGATTCTGGAATTGGAATTGATTTTTTGATTCCCAACCCTAGCTGTTACCTGTTGCCAGATTTTAAGAGTTTTGCAAATGTGACCATTGTAGTCACAGTCGGGACTCCTGCCGTGTGTGTGTGTGTGTGTGTGTGTGTGTGTTTGCGTGTGTGTGTGTGTGTGAGTGTGTGGGGACGGTTCGTCAGCTTCGATCGGTCCATCATCTCAACCTGATGCTGATTCCTCTGACCAGAAAAAACCTGACTGTTGATTACAGTCAATTATACATTTAACTGAATTAAAAATGATAAATGTAACATTAATTAGAGCAGCTGAAATAATCAGTTAAATTGTAAATGTAACAAAATTCCAAGTGTAATTAGAAGATTTTAATTTGAAGTAATATCATGTCTGATTTAAGCATAATTACTGTAAAATGATAGAAGTTAATGTACCAAGGTCGTATAAGGAGAAAAAACAACTTCATAATTTACATTTATGCATTTGGGAGATGCTTTTATCCAAAGTGACATACAATTTTATTCAAGTTATACATTTTTGCAGTTCTTGCTTTCCCTGGGAATCGAACCCATGACTTTACTGTTGCGAGCGCCATGATCTACTGTTTAGGCTACAGGAATGCCATATAATAATCATGATAAATGATTTGTTCTGGCTCAGATGAAGCTTTTGTCTAATGGTAGTAAACATGTTTCTGTCTGCAGTGCTGGATCAGGGCTGCTGTGCGTTCGCTCTGCTGCAGGAGAACGGATTCAATGAGGATCGACCCGATTTCCTGAGCTTTGACCCCACTGTGGTGGCAGAGCAGTTCACACTGATGGATGCAGTGAGTAAAGCACACACACTCACACACACTCACTTACACTCTCACACACTCACTTACACTCTCACACACTCACTTACACTCTCACACACTCACTTACACTCTCACACACTCACTTACACTCTCACACACTCACTTACACTCTCACACACTCACTTACACTCTCACACACTCACTTACACTCTCACACACTCACTTACACTCTCACACACTCACTTACACTCTCACACACTCACTTACACTCTCACACACTCACTTACACTCTCACACACTCACTTACACTCTCACACACTCACTTACACTCTCACACACTCACTTACACTCTCACACACTCACTTACACTCTCACACACTCACTTACACTCTCACACACTCACTTACACTCTCACACACTCACTTACACTCTCACACACTCACTTACACTCTCACACACTCACTTACACTCTCACACACTCACTTACACTCTCACACACTCACTTACACTCTCACACACTCACTTACACTCTCACACACTCACTTACACTCTCACACACTCACTTACACTCTCACACACTCACACATTCTCACTTACACTCACACACTCACTTACACTCTCACACACTCACTTACACTCTCACACACTCACACACTCACTTACACTCACACACACTCACTTACACTCTCACACACTCACACATTCTCACTTACACTCACACACTCACTTACACACTCTCACACACACACTCACACACACTCACTTACACTCTCACACACTCATTTACACATTCTCACTCACACACACACACACACACACTCACTTACACTCACTCTCACTCACACACACACACAATACTCTCTCTCTCTCTCACACACACACTCACTCACTCTCAAACACTCACACACACTCACTCACTCACTCTCTCTCACACACACACACACTCAGCGCTGCACGAATAATCAAATGCAATATTCAAGCGCATCTCGTCAGTAAAGCGGTTCTGTGATTAGTAGTAAATCTCCATCACCTGCTTTCAAATGGAGCAGCATTTACTACACGGAGCCTTGGTTCACTGACAAGCTAGGGTTATTTCTGCTAGGTGTATTTGGAGTTTCTCTGGCTTTCAGATGAAGATTTACTGCTGATCACAGAACCCTGCTTCACTGACGAGATGCGCATAACAATCACAGCTTTTGCCTAATCACGATTGCGATTTCATTGCGATTTATCGTGCAGCCCGACACACAAGCATGCTTGAGCTTCACGTAGCTGATCCTCAGGTCTGTTGTGATGTAGAGAGAACTAGAGAAGCTGAGTGCGTCTCATTCTCTCACCGGACGCTGAAGGACCGTGTCGTGTGCTGTGTTTGTGTCGTGCAGGAGCTGTTCAAGCGTGTGGTGCCGTATCACTGTCTGGGAAGCATCTGGTCTCAGAGAGATAAGAAAGGGAAGGAACATCTGGCGCCGACCATCAGAGCCACGGTCAGCCAGTTCAACCGCGTCACCAACTGCGTCATTTCCACCTGCCTCAGCGACCGGACGCTCAAGCCCGGCCAGAGAGCCCGGATCCTGGAGCACTGGATCCAAGTAGCCAGAGTCAGTCTGATCTCACACACACACACACACACACACACAC